TGTACATATAAGTACATTAGAGTGTTATTGTTATCGTTTTAACAAGCGTAAGCTACATTGCGTTTATGGAAATAAAAATAAATATTGTTCTGAAAGAAAGAATGTTTGTACTTTGTAAACTTCAAATATTTTTTATAACATATTGTTTCATCAGACAAATCAAGAAAGGAGATAATTTCTGTAACCACACAGCGTTGATGCCATAAGGAAGTGCTTGTCGGACACAGGTCGAGTCAGCCCTGCCAGTAGACAAGACGTGCCATTTCTGTTATGAATATATTATTACACTTTGAATTAGACTATTAGTGTTCCTTTTTATTTATGAATTAGGATTTATTATATTACACTGGCACTAAAATTAAAATATATTTTCCAGAAACCAATTATAATAAAAATAAAAATCATCCAGAAATTTTTTGTTTTGCGGACCATTTGGCGCCCCTTTGTGAGTAGCGCCCGGGGCATGATGACCCCCCTTGCCCACCCCTCACTACGCCACTGTTTCACCCCTATCAAAAAAAGGGGCACTGTCAATTTTTGATTTCACCACTGACGACAGAAAGGCTGCTGTGCTTTAGCAGGCAGAGTGTCCACTGATGAAGTGCTGTCCTGCTAACACACATATCTTAAAATTTTTGTTGTTTTCTGCTATTGTTTTTCTGACTTTCTAAATTAAAATAAAACAAATTTGGTTTTAGCTGCTATAAGCGCTTTACCACTTTTAATTATTATTTTAATGTTAATTACTTATTTTGTCTTTTTCTGAATTTGTAAATTAGTTTCATTCTTTGATCAGACAAAATTTTATTTGTTTTTCGCGAAAACTACTGATATTTTAGGAAAAAAAAAACAATGTGTTAAATGCGAAGCATTCGTGGGGACTTGTAAGCAAAGCACCCTAATATTTCAAAAAGATTTCTAATGCATGAAATCGGTTATTAGGGTCTCTAGAATGCATTGCATTAAAAATAACTATAATAAAGCTCCATTATATTTCTGCATTAAAAATAACTATAATTAAGCTTCATTATATTTCGAAAACTAATCAAAATCACAAGAAAAATGTAATTTCCTCATGTCATCCCCAATATTTGTGCTCCGTTTTAATATTTTGTTTTAAAAAACATTTTTACTTATTTAACTATGTAAAGGCTACAAAATGTATGCATAAATTTAACAATGAGCCGGCGCAAGGAGTTTTACAGTAAACTCTTGAAATTCTGCTGTCACTATTCGATTGATAACGTCCTTTGATATGGTAGTGAAGTCTGCAGATCTGGATATCAAAACACTTCATATTTTTCTATCGAACTTAATTTGCAATTCATCAGTAAAAAGACGCAGAATCTGCTCCCGTAATTAAGTTTAAAGAAAGAGTTTCAGTAATTTTGGTTGAAATAATTTTAAGCTAACATTTTAAACTTTTAAAACAATTTAAAATAAATTATATTAAATAATTCTTACGGCTACGGAACCCTAAATGGTCGAGCCCGGTATTTTATATAAAGGGTTATTCATAATTCCCT